ATGAAATGCAACAAATCGACGTCAAATCACCCACAGTATTACGTAGAGGGCGCCCAGGCCCGGGCACCAAGCAGCTTGTACACGCTTCGTTTATACATTCGAGGAAGATTCTCTTGTCGTTTGATGTGGTGTATTGAATTCCATGTCGGAACGTAGTAGAACTCAGTTTAACGAACACATCGACTTCATTGCTATACTACGAAAAGCTGACTTGAATATTTGTGTATTGGATAGTTTATGACATACAGCAACCACTGAAGCGCCACCACCGGAATAACGACGCACAGCAGTTTCTCCAGCCCAGAGATGCGCATACCGCACATAAGAGCAACTTACAGAAATAGTTACCTCTGGCTGAGCAGAAGTTGTAAAGTTACACACTGTTACCTACTGCTGGTCTAACCGACTAATCGACTTCCTTTTTAGATGATATATTCAATTAGCAATTTATAAGTTGACACATGGGAGGGTTTATAGTTCCATGGTTGACAGTATCATCTTGAATTACATATAAATTATTTAGCACACAGCTGGATAACACAGTGTTACATAGTTTTATCTTAATGAAATACATCAGTTCTTCAGATCTTTAGAAATTTATAAATTATAAAATACGAATTTCAACGTTTATTCAATTAATGAAACCACAATTAGCATGTATTAATTCAAAATATGTGACAGCTGAAATTAAATGAACGTTGGAAAATTTTTTTTAGTTTGTAAACACTGTCTTTATTCTAATGGGAGTGGCGATTTCCGACACAATCCAAAAAAAATGCAAGTAGAAACTTTTCCCGTCTAGAAATTTTCCATTGTCGTTTGTTATTTTAGAAAAAAAACATTCAAAACAGAAAATATCAATATAAATAATAATAAAATAAATAAATAACAGCAAAAACAATTAACACATATTTCATTGAATTTGCTATGTTGTGGAGAACAGTATGTTTGAAGAGCGGCTAAGTGCTAGTATTTTGTACACACAATAACCAATCAAATGTCTGGGAATATTCCAAAGGTCGTCGCCATAGTAACCGACTCAAGCGTTGAGGGCGTTAATAAACAGAATAAACATTGGTGAGTTCGAGACGAATGTTTGCCAATCAACTGAGATTGCTTACACCAAAGACATTAGACATTTTATATGTATTCAAAACTTATTAATTTTGGGCAAATCAATAAAACATAATACGACTATTTCATGTCATTCCGTGATGTCACCGGGCCGAATGTGTCTTGTTGTTTTAAACGGTCTCTGTAACATCAGGATTGATATTCAGCTTTGCATTCAGTAATTACATTGGACGACGTACCTGACTTGGTTCTCACCAGAATATATATTACGAACTGGATGCCATGGACGCACTTAAAATGAACTTAATCAAAAAGAATAAAAACATTTCTTTTTCAACAAATTTCCGCGAAGTTCGTCTCTTTTTATCTGTGCATGGGGCGTACAGGACACGTTCAATAAATGTACATTATTTACATACTGCCCTGCCTTAGAGATGGTAATAAACAACATATATCGTGAATCCATTTAAGATCTTTAACAACTGTTCTTTTTATTTCCAAGAAATGGAAAAGTCTAAGTTAAAATTAATTGAAGGTTAACACGGTCTGAGGGCGCTATTACTTTCAAAGAGGAATTTGACGTCTTTAAACCTATGAAGAAATTTGTATGAAATCTGAGAGAGACTCACCCAAGTTACATATATACAAAGTATCAAAGCGAGCATATTTGCCGTCTTCAAGAAAAAGTCAAAATTGAAAAGTTGGCGCAGGCGGACAGCTCCACTCTGTCGTGTTGTGTTACTCTATCTTTCTGAATGCCATTTTTGGTTACAGTCTTTGGTGGATTTATCCCACATTTGTTAAACTAATTTACATATGAATAAATAAATTAGTATAAAAACAATAAAAATTAGTGTTAGTTAATGGCAGCAACAAACACTTTTTCAACGTTAAAACACAATAGCAGTGTGTTCGGCACTTAAATTTCAGAAACCACTCAAAACCCAATACATGTAGTTATTTCTGTACAATAAACATGCATAACATACGTGCTCAGAAATAAATGTTGAGAAGAGTACTTTCTTCAAAACATCTGGTTACTGGTATATTGAACAATAATTAAGAACTACAATTACATACCACCATTTACCGTACATTATATTTTCGGTCCGAGCAGTATTTATCAATTTTACATTTAGATGTTGATCAATCACATGGATGATTTCACTGCTCATCAATGTTGTCATGACAACAGCATATACTCGATGTAGCCAACATATTATTTCCAACATGTATGACAATTATAGCAAAGGAACACAACAATGAATGTCATTGCAAGTTTTTATTGAAAGAAATATTTACAGAAAAAATTCTTAAACCAGTTTTCAAGTACTCCATTATTTGATCATAAATGTCACAGAAAATGCGATAAAAATAGTGAGCCAATAAACACGCAAGATTCATAAAAATGTGTACAAAATTTGGCAAAATGTAATGAAAGTGAAGAGCAGTTTTGATCTCAACTTTATAGAATGTGAAGATAAAAAACCTTTGAAAATTGCATTTAATTATTATATAAATATGCTTAAAATTAGTCAAATTTCATTTACCTTTGATGCAGCTGTGGAGTGTGGAATGTACAGTAAAATTTAAAGTTAAGTTTTATTTGATGAATTCATTCTGCATATGGATAGAGTCAAATGAATCAGAAATATGAACAATGGAGAGGAGTATAAAAAAAAGATTGAAATAAGTTAAAATGTGACTAATTATGTCACATGACTGAAATATTTACAAAATCTACAAAAATAAATATGTTACAGTATCTACATAAACTGTACAAAAATGTCTGAATGTATACAAATATTAGAAATATCACCACAGTAAATACCTGTGTGTTTTGTATTTTATAGTAGAATAGGAAATAAGAAAAATGGAAATTTCAATATCACCTGATATTTATGATATGCGATACTAGTCATTGTCAATGCCATAGTCCTTGTCTCTGTTTGGTTCAAATAGTATTCAAGGACACAACATTATTTTGTACTGTAAAATCTGTCACTGTGTGTCTGAGAAATGGTCAAAGAAGACATACCAATGAAACCAAAATGGCCACAAGTTGAACATTTTGAGCATATCACAACGGATATTATGTGTTGTTCATACTATGTTTGAATAAAAACCCCGAAACAGTCACACCTGAGAAATTGTTGACAAAAATGATCACAAGTCAGTCAAAGGTAACAAAAACAAACATGCATATTAAGACAATTACGACTTGTCTTTTTACCAACTTAGAACACAAAATCAGTCTAAGCATGTTCAAGAAATAATGTAGGATGGACATGGATGGACACACAGATGAACGATACCCAGAACATCAAGTCCCTATTCAACAACATCTACAAATAATGAAGTGAAAAATAATTTATAAAGCCTTTAACTATTGCAGAGACATAGGAGCAATTTGTACAAAATTTATTAGAGATTTAAAATTTAATTAACATAAGATCAAGTGAAATGAAATAAATTTTATCATTAGTATATTTTTTAAATGCAATTATTTTTCAGGCATTTTTCTCAATGTACATCTTGCATCTATAGCGACTGGTACAAATTTTTTTTGTATTTTCCTAATTATACGAGACTACTACAAAATGAAATGGTCATATGTGAGCAGCCAACCCACAACATCATGTCAGTCCTTGTCAAACCTGATTGGTCAGCAGTAATCACATGATTTATATTAAGATGAGAGTTTCAAACCAATTAAAATTAAAGTTTGTAATAGAAATAAATGTGTATTTCTATAAAACAGCTCTGCTTTACTTGCTTGTTAAGTAAATACATTTGTAAGCTAGCTACTGTACTAAAATTAGATTTTAAAATTTAAGATTTAATAATAAATGTAAACATTTATTTAGTTAATTATACTAGAATTTCATTTCAAAATATACATTTCTAGAAGGTAATTTTAAAACAATTTAATTCTTTAAAATTTAATATTTGTAAACAATACTTAAATTACAACATTTTCCAAAATTTGGTAGTAAATTAAAATTTTATGCATTTATTGAATTATGTATGTGGAAATGAATAATATTTTTTTTTTAAACTGATAATGTATTTGAGAAACAGACTAAATGTAGAAGTCTAATCATATTGTTAAGGTTAGCCATGAATAACATAGTGTTCATTGGTAACACTAATACTGGCAAATACTGTTCAATATTTTTTTAGATCAGTTCTATATTACACAATGTTAAATCAAAAGTGCATTTTGAATCATTTTATAAAACCCAGATTTTTGAAATAATTCTGGATATTAAACAAAAGGTACTCCACCCTGTCAATCACAATTCATAATTTGTTCATCCTATGGCACAAGCTATTGTTTTAGATATGGCCTAATATCTTGGGAAACAAAGCAATCCAATACAGACAACTTGTCATCATTCACTAAAATATAAAATAATATTTAGTAATCCATTAACTATTCAAAATAGGTAAACGTTTTGAGCATGCAAGCTCATTGTCACTAAAATCCAAAGTTTTACTTTCTTTATATGTTCCTTCAAGAAATAAACACATGTCAGATGTCAAATAAACACTTGTCACATGACAAATAAACACTTGTCACATGACAAATAAACACATGTCAGATGTCAAATAAACACTTGGCAGATGTCAAATAAACACATGTCAAATTTCAAATAAACACTTGTCAGATGTTAAATAAACACTTGTCACATGACAAATAAACACATGTCAAATGTCAAATAAACACTTGTCACATGACAAATGAACACAAGTCACATGACAAATAAACACATGTCAGATGTCAAATAAACACTTGTCAAATGTCAAATAAACACTTGTCAAATGTCAAATAAACACATGTCACATGACAAACACATGTTATTCTAAACTTTGGGATCTTCAAATTCCTGTTCAGGATATAATTCATTATCTTTAGGATGATAGTCAAGGTCACTGTCCTGATGATGTTTTTTCTTTCTTCTTCTTCTTTTTGATTTATTTTCAGGATCGGGGAATTTGTCATCGACCTCTGGATCTATGTACGTCGCACCATCCATTCCGTAACTCAACCTATCAAACAAAATAATAAAAATTCAAGTTAGTGTACGAAATAATAAACTCTGCGTACCTCCAAACACAATTTATAAAGACCTTATATTTCCATTCATTGACTGTCATATAAAAGGGTTTGAACCGCATTTGACACGGTAAATATATAAAGAACAAAAAATGATGCGTATAATTAAACCAGATACAATTCTCCTCATAGTGGTCAATCTGAATATCAAGATACCCCCGGTACAAGTTCCTAAATACTATTACCGGTATATTCTATCACAATTTTGGCAAAATGAAAAATTCAGCAGATAGAGTTAAAAGAAAATATTCTAATATGATCTTCTACTACATGTTAAGCATTTTCCAGGAATACAGTGAATGTTATTCTTTATTATTTGCAATAGATTATCATCAAAAATTAGGAATGCGTGTAAGGTATAAATCGATTACTCAGATGACTTGTTTCGGTTTATTCATGTTTTAATCTTTGTGTATATTTATTTACCACAAGAATATTATTTCTATAAATGGACAAAAAATGAGCACTGCACACAGAAAGTGCTGAGTAATGTTCAATATGTTTGAGTGTGCATATAGCATAGACCATAGAAGAGATTTTCAGCAACAAAGAATTACAAACACAAATCAAAATCTAAAAAATCTTACAAGCTTATCAAATTTGCCCGTTTAATGAACAAATTAGTAGACATAACAAGTAGTACAAGGCACAGATTTTTTGAGTAACTCATTCAACAAAGAGGTTAGACATAACAGTAGAGGGTAAGATTTGAGAGAAATGAAATAGTTTTTGTTGTCAAACGTAACATACAATGCAGTGAGAAAATATTGATGAATGAACACTGAGATGTCTTTAATGATCACCACAGTTGTTGAAATCACACTTATAAATTGACAGGTTTGATTTGTTACCATTAACACAATTATTATTAACGTATCCTATGTATGTTACATGTACCATTTGACATTGCGAAGCGCTCTCCTTCTTCTGCGGGAAATGAAAATAACAAACAAACAGCGGAATGAAGTGATTACTATGTTAAAAAGACATGCATACTATGTATTATACTGTAAAACATAATATTTTTTGTAATAAGATAAATTTAATTATTTTGCGAAATAAAATAATGTGTTTGCTGTAATAAAAGTGCACATAAACTGAAAATTGACTGTATGTTTGATAATTGAAATATGACTTATTTTGACTCTGTCGTTTATGTAAGCTCATGCACTACTATTCAAGATAATAATTTGGTATACCGGATCAAAATATCCATTGTACACAGATTCAAACAAAATATTTTTATCCACAGCTAAAAAAATCATTACAGAAAAACAAATATTCTGTTTTATAGTATCACCACCATATTAGAAGCTGAAAGCAGGAAGTGATGTCATTAGTATAACAAAGGGGAATGACCAATAGGAAGTGATGTCATTATTATATGTTATATATAGGAATTGACCAAATAAGAATGACCGTAACAGAGTCATGTGTTCCACTGCAGTGTTCCTTATTCTACATTGTTGTCAGATGGTTGCATGAATGAAAGTTTTTAGTAAGCACAGCACAGCACAGCACAGCACAGCAAAAGTCTGCCACAATGAATGAGTAGTGAAATCTGTGGTGGCAGTCAAAATCACAAGTGATGCTACAAAGTAGCATGTGATGTAACATCAATTATTTGGATGTTATTGTATGGTGATGAGAATGCAAGTCAAATATGAGAATAAACCAAGTCACCAGACATACTAAACCAGTTAAGGAGAACTTGGTCTTGATCATAATACTGTCTCCATGAATAATATGTGTATTCTAGTAACAACATCATATTATCATCTCTTCTCCCCATCGTTTATACAGACTTAAAAAACTCAACACATCTAAAATCACTTGAAATAATAATGTAGATTGAATTTCCAAATTTTTGATCTATGTGACATTTATCTTTTAATTTGTTTGATTTATTTTTTTGGATGAAACAAATCTGCCACAGTAAAATAAATCAAATCGTGCTTGTGATAGCACTTGATCACAAATATTGTTTATTCAATCAAAGATGCAGCGAAATCCTGATTACAGCACAGATAAATTCCGGAAATAAAAAATACACTGGTTTAATCTAGAGTGGAATAAGTGTTTGAGTATGAGGTATGCTGTGCCACAATAATCAAACAAAACCAACCTTAGTGCAGTAACACTATAAAAACACAAACCATATAATACTTCCACCACCAACAAACAAAATGCCAAGCTTATTTTCAGTGAAATCGTATCTATAAGTGCTGGCGATATTCCGTAACCACTACCACACAGAAAGTGAGTATACCTATCTAGTGATCTGTCTGTATCAGAGCTGGTAATCCAACTATCATCACCGTCATCATTGTTATTATTATTAAGCTGCTTATCATAATCAATGTGATTATCTGGTAAATAAACAGCCTGCTGTGGTGCCTCTCTGTCAGGTATACCACGATTACTAAAAAAGACGGTTAGGAAACGCCATTGTTAAAAGGTGTGAATCTGCCTAATCCCTCAAGGATGCGTGTCGCGCTGTGTACGCCCTATTGCTTGAGATTTCAAGGTCCACCATTTTGTTTCATTTTTGTGTCGATCACTTGATGTTCCGCGAATTTGAAATTTTAAGCTCATTTTCGATAGAATATCCACGTTTAGTGAACAAGCTCTACGAAGAACCACACTTACATTTCGGATGAGTACTCTTTGTGACTGTGAAAACATTCAGAATTGAGAATCGTCATTTATCGTTTTCACTGTTGTCATGAGAGTAAGCTTGGGTCCCGGTAGAAAAGTGAAAAAAATTCTAACCCCTAAGTTACTATTTTAAAATACATTATATTATAAATCAAAGAAAGCTTAGAAAGAACTCCCGTGTGCTGAGAGTATTGAAGACACATTAAAAATTAATTCAAAATTACTTGTACATGAGATATTGATAGAAAAGCT